GTCACAGTGCTCCTTGGGCCAGAGCCAGGATTTTGAGATGTGTCCCACCCCTAGACTTTGTTCCCCAGACTTTCTGGGTGAGGTCTGGTAGGTGGGTGACTGGGTCCACGGTGCCCTCAGAGGCCAGGCTCTCAGGACCTCCTGGGATGGCCCTTCAGTGACTGGAAGAAGAAGCTGAAGGCTGGCAGCTCTGTTTCAGAGACCTGCCTTTGATTCTTTGATGCTGTCATTTGGCGGACCCCTGGGGAAAGCCTGAGGCATTGCTGAGCCGGGCAAACATATTTAGCTCCTTTCATTTTCCCTAATAAATCAATTTCTCCAGGCCTCTCACACCTGCCTCCTCTCTGTCTCCTGGCTGTCCCCTAGCTCCTGTTCCCCCACACCCTCAGGCTCCTGGGCATAGGACCCCAGGCCAACTCTGGGTTACGAGGAGGACTTCAGACAGATTCTTCCATTCCCTGGGGACTTGGCAGGGGTCTCCATGCCCTTTCAGATCCGTTGCCCTCTTCTGCTCTGTCCCAGCTCATCTGTCTTGCGTTGGGCTGTCTGTGGGAGTCCTATAGCGTCCTTGGATCCCCCAGCTGTCAGAGTTGTGGGACGAAGGACTCAGGCTCCACCAGTGCCCAGCCCTCCTCCACCTGGCACCCTCTTGGCCCACTGTGGTCTTACCCTGTCCGGGGACTTGTGCTTGGGGTCCCGAGGGAGTCCCAGAAAGACCTGGCTCTACTCTGCTTCCTTGTCTTGGCTCCTACTGGCCCCTTTGGCTGGAAGTAGACTTCCACTTAGCTAATTATTCATGGGCACCTCTTCCAAGAAGCCTTCAAATATCTTTAAACTCCATCATCAATCTCTCCTTCCCCAAGGACCCCCAGCCTGTTTGGTATTTCCACGTAAGCACACACACAGTTTGCTTTACAATACTCATGTTGTTACGTGTTAAATCAGATCTGACTCATAGCGACCCTGTATAGGCTTTCCAAAAAGCAGCTAGTGAGTTTGAACTGCCGAACTTGTGGTTCAAACCGAACATGTGGTCCAGTGCTTTATTCCACCGCGTCACACCAGGACACCAATACAGACAGCAAGCACTTACATAATGTCGAGTAGTGCCCAGCTCTGTTCTAAGAGTGTGCATGTATTAATGGGGAAGCTGAGGTACAGAGAGTTTAGGAAACTTGGAGATGCAGGTAGAGTTGGACCTGTAACCCTGTGGGCCTAGACGAAAGGATCTCACTACTGCTCCCTTGTGGCCTTTTGCGGTAACTGACTGTGGTTTCTGCACACTTGTCTCCAATCCTCCCAAAGCAAGGGCTCCGTCTCACCTGTGTCTGGGACCTCTCTGGCACACAAAAGTCCCCATTAAAAGGTTTGTGCCATGGAACTTATTGGGTCAACCCCTCCGGAATGAAAATAACGCGACTAGCTCAGGATTCACAGCCAGAAGATGAGAGACCCGGAGTCTCCCATGTCTTAGGCAGGGAATTAGGGAAAGGACCCTGGGTGTATGTCGGACTGCTCAAGTCCACAGGCTTTAGTGGCCCTACGAAACCAGCTGCACCCCGCCCCGCCCCCGCCTCCCCAGCTGCCCAGGTGAGGACTCGACTCAGGACCGAGCGCCGGTCCCCTCAAGCGGTAGCTGGTCGGAACCTCTATCCGCAGGTGGTGGGCGCCCCCTGCTGCCCAGAACGGGGAGTGGGTAGTCAAGGGCCAATGAATTCGAGCCGCAGGACTCTTCCTGCTGGTGACTAGGCCCTGCCCACCTCTCAGGCCACGCCCCCACACCCTAGCAGCGCTGACGTTTTCACAGTTCCCCGCGGCGCCAGACATTGTCTCCCTACAGGTGCTGAGCACAGAATGCCTTTTGTCAGCCAGGCTGTTGTCTAGTGCAACAGACAAGGGCAGGCTCACTAATACCGGGCAGGACCCTTCCCCTAGCCTAGCTGCTCCCTCTGAGAAGCCTCTCTTGATTGCCCCTGTGACCACACTATACCAGCACCTGTCGCCTGAGCCTTCCGCACTGGAGCAGAGCTCCTGTTGAGACCAGGAGCTTTGTCTTGGTGATCTTTGGACTCTTGGCTCTGCGCATAGTCTTGTACATAGTGTTGTTGTCGTTGTTCCGATGCATAACGGCGAGCATTGGTGGGTTTGACCCGCCGATCTTGCTGTTAGCAATCCATTGCTTACCCTACAGCGCCACATCAGGACTCTGGGTCTATAGTGAATGTTCAGTAAGTGTGGGCTAAATCTGGATATTATTCAGTACCGATGGTGGAATTTCAGGCAGGCTGCTGGGTTAGGGGTGTGGGGTGAACGGGGTGGCCGGCACATTCTAAGGCAGCTGCCTAGAGTCCTGGTGTCCAGGCTCACTAGAACCCAAGCCTCCCACACAGGCAGACATTCTGCTTTGCTCCATCAGTGCCTGGCACACAGCAGGCACTCAATAAATATTTGCTGAGAGCACAAATTAATGAAGGTTACCAAATTGAAGGCCCTCTGTAGCACCCCAAAGTTCGCAGTTCAAATCCACATGCTTTTCATTGGGAGAAAGATGAGACTGTCTGCTCCCAAAAAGATTTACAATCTCAGAAACTCTATATGGGATTGCTATGAACTGGTGTGGCACTGTGGGTTAATGCACCAGACTGCAAAGCCCTTTGAACTGCAAGGTCGGTGGTTCCAGCTCACCAGCTGCTCCTCAGAAACCCTATACAGGGTCGCTATGGGTCAGAACTGACTCGATGCCATTGAACAACAAAAATGGCAGTTGGTTTAGGTGTTTTGGTTGCACCTGGGTTTGCATTCCTCTAGTGACAGGGAACTTACTACCTAGGTCCTGAAGCAGCAGCTGTTTCATCTTGCTAAAGAGTCTTCTGGCTTTTCCTTAGGCTCGGCAAGATTAGCTCACCCCTGCCCTTGCCCATTGTTGTTGTTGTGATGTGCCGTGGAGTCGGTTCCGACTCACAGCGACTCTGAACAGGGTTTCCGAGGCTGTAAATCTTTACGGGAGCAGAAAGCCTCAGCTTTCTCCTGTGGAACAGCTGGTAGTTTCGAACTGCTGACCATGACATTAGCAGCCTGATTCATAACCGCTACGCTACCAGAGCTCGCTTGCTCATGGGAGCCTTGTTTGTCCCTGGGGTCCAGCTGCTGGGGACTTCTCCTATTGTAACAACCCCAGTGCCTCTGAGTGCCCAGGCTGCCCAATCTGTCCCTCCCACCCTCACTTTGGAAAGGGACCTAGTAAAAGACTGGGGGCGGGGGGAGGGGGGCATGGAGAGAACAGAGCCCCAGCCGTGAGTTGGATCATGAGTTTTATTTTGACCTCTGAGTGATTTCTAGAACTGGTTCCACCCACTAAGTGATGGAGGAGGAATCTGAGGGCCAGAAATGGGGAGGAGTGGGTCAAGGTCATACAGCCAGTGTGTGTCTGAGGCAGGAGAGGACCACTGGCCTCCTGACTTGCAGCTCAGTGCTCCTTCCACGATTCCTGGCTGCTTCTTCATGAGTCAAATGGGGCAGCAGAGGTGAAGCTCAGCTGCCAGGCTGAGGTCAGTGGACATTTCTAAGATGTCCAGCAAGATTTCTGCTGGTTCTTCTGGTAGATGCCAACCCAGACCCTTGCTGACACAATATAATTACCACATACCTGCCGGGGGACAGGGATCTCATGGATAGCTATACTCCGTCCTTGAGCAGTCCTGACCCCATGGAAGAGTATGTGTGTGTATATATGTATATATGTATGAATGTATGTGTGTGTGTGGACATGGGCATGTATACATGTGTATGCATGTGTATGTATGTGGGTACCTGCATATACATGTGTTCATGAGTGTGTGCATGTGTAGGCAGGGTTCTCCGTTAATCTGCTCCTCCTCCTAGAGAACCTCCCTGGCCCCCACTCGCTCACTAGCTGGCAGCTGGGCAGCGACAACTCCATTGGCTGTTTCTCTGCCAGGGAATTTTCCTCCAGGGACTCCCCTGGGGTCTGTGTGAGGGGGTGAGAAGTGCTTCTGAGATGTAGCTTGTTCGTGGGCTCTCCTCCAGACCCCATCCTGCCTGGGCTGGAATGTCAGTTCCATTCTGGAGAAGATGCTGCTGAGAGGCTCAGTGGGGCCACCCCTCACCTCCACAGACCCCAGGCTAGTGGACCAGCAGGGAGGCCCTGGGCCAGTCTCTGCCTCTCTGTATCCTTTGTCAGCTCAGCTGCCGCCTCCAGGCAGCCCTTCTGATAAGCACAGCCCACAAAGCTGAACCATCAGTCTTAAGTGACCCCCGTCTGTCTGGGCTGCTCTCTGCTGTCTCCCGGAGGGTCCCACCTGACCCTAAACTCAAATGGAGTTGGTTGACGGTGATGCTCACTTTTGCTCGTGACTTCTTGGCAACCTTCAACTCAGGGCCTTTCTGGTCCAGTACACAGGTGTAGGTTTTCCAAGCAGGAGCTCTTCCCGGGAAGCCCAATGCAGTCCTGGCCTTCTGCCTGGAAGGAGGAGGCTGGCCAGCCTACCACTGCTGGGGACTCATTCCTCTCAGGTGTCGGGAGATGCTGGTACCCAGCAGCTAAGGTGGGTATTGAGAAACAGCCCCAGAGCTCAAAGGGGCCAAGCCATCTCAGGTCCAAACACCTTGTTTTGCCAAGAACCAGAGAAGAAGCCTGATGGAGCGGAGACCACAAGGAGATGAAGTCAGAGATGAAGATGGGATGGAACCACGGGGTCTGGGGTCCTGGTGTTCTTGGGACTGAGCTGTAGGCCTGAGGATCCTAGCTCAGGTATGGAGGGCTGGGGAGGGGCAGGCAGAGACAGTCTCTGAGGCCCAGAGATAGGACAGGGTGGTTCCCTCTCCCTTTACTGTAGTGAATCTGGGGCAGGGGGAGCCCCAGGAGCTCCCAACCACCCTCCTGAGCTCAGTTTCCAGCCCTGATGTTTCCAGCTGGAGGCCATGGTGGGTAGGCCATGATGCCTTCCAGCCAGGCAAAGGTGCACTGTGGGTGGGAGGTGGTCCCCAGCACCACGTCTCTGGACGGCTCACTGCTTGTTGGCGATCTTCTTCTTTCGAGCAGAGACTAGGTCATAGAAGGGGACACGCGTGATGCTGGCTCTGGAAGGAAGAATGGGAGAAAGAGTTCCAGGGCCCAGCTGGTGGGGTCTGGGACTCCCAGGGAGGTGCCGGCCTGTCCAGCTGTAGGGGAGAGCCAGAGATTGAAACCAGTGTGGAGCCAGTGTGAGTCAAGAGTCCCAGGGCAGGGCCAGAGCTCAGGTTTGCCTGAGAGCCTGGGGAATTCTGCCCCAAAGGGTTCCTGGACTCTTCTTTGGTCTCCCATCCCGACTCTTAGAAGGAGGTGGGGCTGCAGACCTGCAGTTTACTGGCTATGGTCCTAGAAAAGTTTCTTCCATTTCTAGGCCCCAGTTTCACAATTCCAAGTGGGGTAATAGCCTGCTGTACCTCACGGGTAACGTCGAGCCCTAAAAGGGTGGACATGGTCATCGTGTGCTGAAGTGTGGCTTCTCCTTCCTCCTCTCTGTCTCATTTCATTCCCTCAAGTCTCTCCCTGAACTGTAATAACATCTGTCCTTCTACCATCTGACTTGATGCTTCAGAGCTAGCCCCTCAATAGTCACCTTTATTACCTGACCACAGCCCTGCCCCCTGTTTACCAGGCAGGGGCTCCCCAATATCCCTAGGAGAAATGCACACTCATCACCATGACAACCAAGACCTCACCAGTCTTTATAGCAGGGGTGGGGAACGTCCCGCCTGAGAGCAGTATAGAGCAAGTGAAATCATTTGGTCTGGCCCTGTCAGGACAACCACAGTTCCAGCCACCACATTGGGGGTAAGTTAATTAAGTGTTTGACCAAATATAGCAGGGTAATTTTTAAGTTGATAATTTGTATGGCTCATGAATGATGTTATAAATTTAGGCACATAAAATGTTCCCCACCCCTGCTCTAGCGCCTCCTCTCCCACTGCCTTGCCCCCCACCTGCCAGCCTGCCTTGTCCACCCCCCACTCTTCATGGCCCTGGTCTGTCTGGGCCCTACCCTGCTGGCTGCACAGCCCCGCCTCCACAGGGCCTCCCACCCTCCAGCCCCCTCTCCCCAGTTCTCAGCCCTGTGCTGCCCTGCCCGCTTGTCTTCACCCACACTGTTCCTTCACCTGGAATGCCCTTCCCTCCATCTGTGCCAGGTGCAGTCCTTCCCAGCATGCCACTGAGGTTGCTGATGGTGACCAGAGTACCATTTACCCAGCATGTCCCATGCTCAAGCATGAAGCAAAGGAGCTGACATGCAACAGCATGCCTGGTCCTCCCAACCCGCAGAGTCACTTCCCACCATCTATGTGGGGTCTGTGCTGGGATGTGGGTGTGAGAGGCCAGATTAGCCCCTTGCCAGATAAGGAATCAGGCCCCGAATGAAGCTGGGGCTGCGGAAATTCACAGCAGCCCATCCCCGCCACCCAGCTGCCTCTTACCGTATGGCCTCGATCCACTGGTCCCTCTCTTCCTCGCTGGCAGCTGAGATGCGATAGGATACATGTTTGCCTTCCACCACCTTGCCATCGCCATCTGTCTTGCAGGCTTTTATCTTCTGGCCCCGGCAGCTGGGGTTGTAGAGCTCCAGGCAGAACTGAGGGAGGCAGCAGGTGAGGATGAGGATACCTCCATCTTACCATGCCCACCTGGGACTGTGGATCCTGGGGCAGGTCAATGTCATCAATGTTGTCTGACATTGGCCGGGTGACCTTGAGTAAGTCACTGCACCTCTCTGAGCCTCAGTTTCCCTAATGGGGACCTAGCGAGATTGGAGGATTGGATGCGCCTGGCACAAACTAGGTGCTCAGTGTGGGCATTAGCTGCTGTTGCCCCTTCGTCTTTCAGAGAAAATGGGTCTGCTGGGGGCAGGTGTGTCCTGTAGGGGGTGGGATGGGGGTGTGTGGACATTGACTACTTGTGTACCCCAGCAGCTCTGACCTCAAGCCCCATCCCAAACCTACCGGCTTCTTGGGGTCATCCACCTTCTGGACTGAGAGGTTCTCAAGGGGTATGATTCCTCGTGGCTCCTTGTCCTGCAGGGGGAGGGGAGAGAGGGGCACAGTTAGAAGCCTGCAGGCCAAGGGCAAGGTGTGAACTTGGGGGGCTCTCTAAACAAGAAGGAATGAACCCACCCTCCCAACCTCAGTCCAGCCCTAGAGGATCAGGGAAGAGTCATGAATGAGAGCTGAAAGAGCTGTCTTCCAGCCCTGGCCATGCCTCGAAGCTTGGCCCAGACCCTCCCTCTCTGTCTGTGCACCTCAATTTCCCATCTATAAAATGGGAGCAGGGCTGGACTGAATGCTCTCAAAGGGTCCCCAAATGCTGTTAGCCAATTTGTGTGGCAGGAAGGGGCTGAATGCGGAGGCTCAGGGAACCCCAGCTTACGGTGGTGAACTCGAAATAGTAGAGGCAGTTGTCGGTCAGGATGAACCAACGCCGTTTCCACGTCTTCACGCGACCCCCTGTAAGTGATCAGTAAGGGGTTAACTGGGATGTACCCTTCCCTACCTGGAAGAGCAGGGCCTCTAGTCTTCTCCCACCCAGGCACCCTAGTCCCTAACCCACCCATCCTTCCTCATGCAAAAACCGTCAAAGTGCTCACACTGCAGCTGCCTAACCTGGCATTCAAGGCTCCACTGTGATCCAGCGTCAGGATGGCAAGTTGCTATTCTCTGCACTTTCCTGGCTCATCCCCTAGCCAGCTCCCTGCCTGATGTCATGCTAAGCACTTCATCTTTTATTTGCCTGGTACTATATTAGCGGTTTCAGACAAATATTTACTTAACTCCAGAACCACCTATGAGGAAGGTACCATTATCAATCCCATTTTACAGATGCAGGAAACCGAGGCACAGAGAGTCAAAATTACCTGCAAAGTAGAGATTTAAACCCTGGTATCCTGGCTCAAAAGAAGCTCTGCTAGCGTAGTGGTTATGAATCGGGCTGTGAACCTTAAGGTCAGCAGTTCGAAACTACCAGCTGCTCCATGGGAGAAAGATGAGGCTTTCTGCTCCCATAAAGACTTACAGCTTTGGAAACCCTGTACAGGGTCGCTATGGGTCAGAACCGACTCCACGGCACTTAACAACAACAACCCTGGCTCCAAAGCCCAAGTCCTTGACCATGTCACTACACGCTTAACCTTCCCCCCCACTCCCCCAATTATGTTCCCATTTCTCAGCTGCAGAAATGGAGGCTGAGGAATCTGAGCAGAGGCACATGGGTGGAGGAGCTGGGTTTGAGGTTCCTGAGGTCCTTCTCCTGCCTGAGTGGGGCTGGGAGCAAGTGCGTGAGGGAAGTTAGTAGGGGCAGGACAGATGGACGTGGACATGGAAAGATGGAGGACTAGATGGGCAATCTGTACCATACCCACCCATCCTGGCCAGGCCCTTGTACCTCAAGTGTTCTAGAGGCTGCTGCCCCTATTCGAGAGGCTTTGGGAAGTGGGGGTAGGGGATGGGAAGGCTGGAGACCAGTGGTGGATGGCAGGGGCCTGCAGTTTCCCTCAGACTCTGTAACATGGGCTGCATTCTGGGCATTACTGTGGGGGCAGGCTCCCCTCCCCCAGGCATCTTAGGGGACACTGCCCCTGAACCACATCCTGTTGTTCACCCTCCTCTCCTCCAGGGGCACCCAGCCCTCTGCCCACCTACATCTGCCTCTTGCTGGCTGTGTGGCCTCAGACAGCTGCCCTAACCTCTCTGATCCTTGACTTTGTCAGATTGCTAACCCCTAGGCAGGGCTGAGTGAGGGGTCTGCACCTCCTTGCCTGTGCTTAGTAGGTCCTGAATAAATGGAAGTTCCCAGCAAGACTCCTCAGCCTAGCCCTCTGGGGGGAGAAACAGATCTGACACAGGCATTTGTCTGTGGGTCTGTCTGCTTCTCATACCTGGATTCAGTCTCCCTCCACCGTCCGGTGAGGTAGGGTAGAGACTTGGGGCCCACCTGACTTCACCCCTGAGGCTGCGTGTGAGCATGTGTGTTCATCAGCATGTGTGTAGGCATGTGATGTGTGTACGTGTGTGTCAGCACACATGCACAAGTGTGTTCGTGGGAGCCCTTGGCCTCTCACCCAGTTTCAGCAGCCAGCCCTCTCGGTCCGGGTTGAAGAAGGTGTGCGTGAGGTCGTTACCATCATCCTCCGGGATGGAGAAGGGCTCACTCTTGATGCTGTCGAAGAGGTTCTGCCAAGAGAGAGGAGGGAAGGATGTGTTGTGCCGTCCGAGCTCTACCCTCTGTGGCTCTGGGCAGACCATTTCACCTCTCCTGCTAGCTGCTGTCCCCCCTCACCCATCCCCCAGACTACATGCCACTGTTGGGCCGAGGGCATGAGATCCAGAAGCTCAGAAAGGCTACCTTGTGACCCTGCTCATCGCCCCCCACATTCTCCCAGTACTTTGACATGTCAGGACCAGAGCACTGGGCAAGTGCCTCAACCTCTCTAAATCTACAAATAGACAAACCACTGCTGACCTTCCAGTGTAAGTGGACTACATGGGTCAGAAGCCACTACTCTCCTCAAGCCACGGGGAAGGTTAGGAGCCAATGCACCCCCTGCCCCAACCCATTCCCTTCACCCCAGCCCCCCAGAGCTGCTCTTCCAGGGGTGATGTGTGTCAGAATGCTGGAGACGGGGACACTCTGGGTGGACCCGCATACCCCAGGCACATTCCTCTTTGTGGGTATGCATTTGAGTGCACACAAGCATGCACCCTGGGAGCCCAGCATCCAGAACCAGAGCCTCCTTGGACATTGCCCTGGGGGGGCAGGGCCCCTCCTCTGCTGAGCTGAGGCTCCCAGTGCAGCCCTGGGGGGTAGAGAGAGGGAAGCAGATCTGCAGGCCTTGTGTAGAGTTGCTGCCAGGGAGAAAGAGGATTGGCTGCCCTGGGTAGAGAGGGTCAGCAGAAGGAGATACTGGGCATGGGTGCTGACCTCAGCTTCCAAAGACCCCTGTCCTAAGCAGAAGGAAGTGACCTATTCTGGGTGGACTCTAACTGTAGGGCTGGAGGAAGTAATTCCCAGTTCTCCATGAAGAACATTCTAGAGTTGTTTTTAAGATGTGAAGTGCTGTCGAGTCGATTCCGACTCATAGCAAGCCTATATAGGATTCCCAAGGAGCAGCTGGTCAGTTTGAACTGCCGTTACAGATGCTAAAATATAGAAGGAGTGACCTCAATGGGTAATGAGCTCCTTGTCACTGGAGGTATGCAAGCCAGGGCTGGGGACCTCCCAGTGGGGGAGCTGTAGATGGGCGGGCTGGCTCATGCCTGTGTTATTTGAACCCCCACCATGAAGTCTGCCCAGATTTCCAAGTGTTTTGAAAACGGTCTCGTTCTGCCTATTAAAACCAGACACAATGTTGTGTCTCTGTCGATAAGATAATTAAATCATTTCCTTTGGTTGCATTTGTGTGTGCCGCTGTTCAGATGGTTTCCTGGAGATTTTTTAATGAAAAATTTCACAAGTATTGCTTGATTCCCCAGACATTAGAAACAGCATTTGTTGGTTTTTAAGATCTGTTCTGATCTGGGAGCTCAAGGGTGCGGGGGTGTGAGATGGAGGAACAGGGACCAGTTTCCTTATCTACATACACCCTCTAGAACAGGCTAGAAGTACTGTTCCTCCTCCTACCCAGGCCCAGCGGAGCCCTGGGAATTCCCAGGTGGTGTTAACTGGCTATTTGAACAAGAACCTGCGACAGGAAGGTCCCGTCAGCAAAGCTGTCAAGCACAGAAACATCTAGAAGCCTGAGGAGGCGGGCAGGGGCAGACAGGGGGCCTTAGACCTCCATAAAACCCACAGGCAGGTCAACAGCTTCGGCAGTCTCTAGATCAGCTGACACATTCTGGCCCCACAAACAAAACGGCTCAGTCACCCACATTTCCTGAAACTCTTGCACACCAACCTCTCCCCTTAAGAACACACCCCTGCATCCGCCGCCACCAAACCACTGGGCCCAACTGTCTTCTCCAACTGGCTGGACGTGATCAGATATGCAATGGCCACTCTCAGTGCTTTTGCGGGCTTGCATCTCTCTCGGCCCACTCTCCTCCAGTTTTCTTTTCCGACTTCCTGTCCAGACTGTTCAGCAGGGCTGATATCTCTTCCCTAGGCTCTATGAGTGAAGGAGTGACTCCCGTCTAGCCAATCAGAGCATTTTACCCAATTGGCTTCAGGATTGGTTCACTTGGGTCATGTGACCCCAGCCAGCCAATGAGCCTTAATTCTGAAACTTTTGTTTGAACTGTTGAGAAGAGTGCTGCTAAGCAAAAGGTGGTGTTGTTGCTGTTACCCTGGAGTCGGTTCCGACTCATAGCGACCCTCTGCAGGGTCTCCGAGGCTGTAAATCTATAAGAAAAAGGTGCTTCGGGTTAATGCGCTGGACTGCAAGGTCGGTTTGAACTGCAGGGTTGGTGGTTCAAGCCCACTAACCGCTCCTTGGAAACCCAATACAGGGTAGCTATGAGTCGGAAGTGACTTGACCTTGAAGACACCTAACGACAAACGGAAATAGTTGGGAATTGGGAAAACAGACAAATCCTTTGGCCCCTAAATCTTGCTCTTTGGTCTCTACAGAGGGAAGGACTCCAGAGTCATGGGTTCAAATCTAGACTCAGCATAGATTATGAGACCACTGGCTAGCTCCGGCTCTTTGAGCTCAATTCCTTAGCTGTAAACTGGGGAAGGCGCCTGCTGTTTAAGATTGTTGGGAGGACATAGAACTGCGCCTGGTATGTGGTCAGTTCTGATAACTGGCTGCCCTCATCACTATTATTACACTGATACCATTGAGCCTGGAGCCCCTGGGTGATGCAAATAGTTCAGCAATCAGTTCATAATCCAAAGGTTGGAGGTTCAAATTCACCCAGCAGTGCCTCAGAAGAAAGACCTGGCAATCTACTTCTGAAAAAAATTAGTCTGTGAAAATCTTACGGAGTACAGTTCTACTCTGACACACACAGGGTCACTGTGAGTTGGAAGGGACTCCACAACAACTGGTTTGGTCACCTCCCACCTGGACACTTAGGAACCGAGTCACACAAAGCGCAGCGCAACCAGGGAAAGTCACAAAACCCGAGTCTCCCTCCTCCCAGCCCTGTTAGATTCCACTTGTCATATGAACTCCGGACACCTCTTCTGATCAACTCACCCTGGCACTGACCACTTGTGAGTCCTGGGAGGTGACCAGATAGGGGTCCTGAATTCACTGTTGTCTCAGTCGGAAGGAACGACCCAGGACTGTGGTGGGAATTGGCCTCCTGGGGTCCCATCCCTGAGAGATCTGATCCTGCTGTTCTTGGGAAGGATGGATTCAGAAGTTCCCTTCTGGGGGCAATGTGTGCCCACACATGTGTGTGCATGTGTTGTGTATGTGTGTGTACTAGAGCAGGGGCGGGATGATGGGGTGGTTGGAGTCTTTGCTGGTTCTCCTTGAGATGTGGGGTGAAGCAGTCTGGTCTATAAACCAACAGGGAATCTTAGACAAGGGCTCAAGAATCCAGCATTCAGCAGCAGAAGACACCCTGGGCTGGGAGCTGTTCCTTTGCCTGGGGGCTCAGGTCGGAGGTGAAGGTGGAGAGCCCCTCCTGTGTTCTTGTCCCCCCTCACATCCCTCCTCCATCCTCATCCCTGTCCTGCTATTTCAGCATTTCTCTGGTCCCTACCCAGAGCTAGATGTGCCATGGGCTTTATCCTAGCTTTTCAGATGAGCAATGTGAGGACAGTGTTGTGAGCTCTTGTCAGATGAGGGAATTGAGGCTCATACTCAGTCACACAGTCGTAAGGGCAGATCTCCCACCCACTTGCCTGTCCCCCCATTCCCAATGTGTAACCCTCACATCTGTGTGTCCTTGGGCTGATCTGTCTTTAGGTAATGTCTCTGTACCTTTTAAAAGCCTTAGCTTGTTGGCAGGGCCCCAGCTGGAGTCACTCCATGGAGAATCCTTTTGCAAAGTGGCAAACTTTGAATATCTGAATGTGCTTAAAGCTGAATTCTTGCTTTATGTAAGGGGACAATTAAGCCACATTTGGGGCATAATCCAAGCCTGTGTGGCTCTCTTTGGCCATGCCCTGGGAAATGTCTGGCTTAATTAACCAAGCCAACTACCAGGCACTTTGCTAAATACCTTGATATTTCTCCACGAATCCTATTAGCTGGGGCGGGGGTGGGGCTCAGAGAGTTCAAGCCACTTACCCAATGCCACACAGCCTCAAAGTGGTGCAACCAGGCCTGGGCTATGGCTTCATCTCCAGTGCTCTCTTCTTTTCCCTTCCAGGTGCCTACCTCTCACAGCTGCCAAAGAGGATAATTAGCCCTTCCTGACCAACCTCCCAGGCAGAATTTGAAGCTAAATTGAGATAATAGATCCAGAGAGCCCTATGTGGAGAAAGGTACAAGATCTATACAAATGAAGTCCATTGTTATTAACAAAAGGCTTGAATTGGGAAAAACACCAGAGAGGAAAGCTGAAGAAGCCTGGGGTGAGGGGCTGAGCACAGTAAGGTGGGCACCTGGAGACCAGGCAGGGCTGCTGCTGAAGATGTAATTAACTCATTACCTGCCAGACAGGTGTGCCCGCAGCACAAAGGAGGAAACTTACCAATGCTTAAACGCCTTTTACGTCTCAGACGTTTGGCTAAGTGATGTGCTTTTTATTAATTATCCCTCCTAGTGACACAAGCCACCATTTAGAACCTGCGCTGTGTACCTGGCAGAGATGATGCCCTTTACACAAGAGTTTAATTACTACCCACAGCTGCTCAGTGATGCAGGCGTTACCACCCCAGTTCTCCTGGCTTAGGAGAGGGTGTCTTGAAGAGGTAAATCAGGGTCAAGGGCGTTTAGCAGAAACAAGGAGGAGATGGGATGTGGCCTGAGCTATGCCCTCAGCCCTGCTACCCCCCACCAATGATAAACTGTCTCCTCTAAGGGTCAAGTCAGATGGTGGACTAAGGGTTTGTTGTTGTTGTTAAGAGCTGTAGAATCTGTTCTGACTCATAAAGACCCAGTATAGGAGCAGCTGGTGAATTTGAACTGCTGACCTTTGTGGCTCAAATTGACCTTGCAGTTCAGTACTTATCCTACAACACCACACCAGGGTTAGGGGTATGGTAGTTCTCAAACACAAGAACCACCAGAATCATTCAAGGTGCAGACCCCAACCCAGATTTCTGAGGCAAGCGGTGCATAGGTGCTAAGCTAGGAGAGTGGGATTTTCGCCCCCTCCTCGCCTCCCTGCTGGGCAGATGCTGGAGGGGACTAGTCCTTGAATCATCATTTCATGTTTGCTGCACCAGGCTCGGGATCTCTCGCTGGTCTCTAAAGCCCTGGCCCACCACCCTTCATTGCCGCACAAATGAGGGGCTTAATGGATACACCACCCCCGACACCTTCCCAGCCAGGCCAGGCCTGGGTTCTGGCAGCTTTGTCTTCTTAGAATGTCTATGTACTGCTTCTTTGGAAAAACTCACACTCAACCTTCAAGGTCCAGTTCAAATGTCACCTCCTCTGTGGAGTCCTCCAGAGCTACCCTTCCCCTGGCCCCAGGAGAGTTCCAGCAATGTCCTCTGAGTCTCCATAACTGTGACCCATGGTCAGCACAGCATGACTCACGAGGACATGTTAGTCATGCATTGGTCATCTCCCCACCAACCCCTAAACTTGGGCAGGACAGGGGCTGTGGTTGATCCATCCCTGGGTTCCCCTCCTGGGCACAGGGCCTGGCACAGCATGATGGGGTGGGGGAGCGTGTGATAGGCTCTGCTTGGCTCTGCCACGAGATAACCAACCAACATGTGCCTTTGAGGAGAACGCTTTCTGGAAAGCTTTGATCATAACTTTCAACTCTGACACACTGAGAGACCAATCACCTGGGAGTCTAAGATATCATCCGAGGAGAGGATTTCCACAAGGTTTCAAGGGTCTGAGGCTGGGGGAATTCTTCTAGGTGGTCCATCTCTAGACAACCTCCTCATGGGAAGTCCGGTACAGGACCAACCTCTGTTGTGATGGTTTATCTCAAGATAGTTACCAACCTGGGTGGTCCTCCTCAGCATAAGCCCCTTTTAAAGAGATTCATTTTAGTATTTGTCTCCTCATATTAGTATCTGTCCCAGCACAGTCCCCTCTGAGGGGTCCATCTCAGACAGCCCCTTCTCAGAGTGGTCTATCTCAAGACTTACCTTGTCTTTGAGTGGTCCATCTCATCTTGTCTCTGAGTGGGCTTGTCTCAGACAAGGCCTTGTCTCTGAGTGGTCTATCTCAGCATAGCCCCCTCTCAAAGTGGTCTTATCTCAAGACTGGCCTTGTCTCAGAGTGGTCTATTTCAGCATAGCCCCCTCTCAAAGTGGTCTTGTCTCAAGACTGACCTTGTCTCTGAGTGGTCTATCTCAGCACAGTCCCCTCTCAAAGTGGTCTCCCTCTCAAGACTCTCTCAAGTGTTCTTACCCAGAGCAGCTCCTCAGGCAGGTCACTGCCGTCATTGATGCCACGGTTCATGGACACGAAGCGTTCGAAGGGCGTTTTGTCCCGGACATTGGGGTTGTGGAGGCTGGTGTTGAGCATGATTATGGAGAAGGACAGGACGTAGCACGTATCTGTGAGATGGGACAGCGGTCACAGTCCTGGTCCAGATCAGTCCTCTCTTCCTCTGCCCTAGACCCTCCTCAGGGTTAACAATCTGCGGTCCCTGCCTTGCCTCAGGGTTCTGAAAGTTCCATCCCCTCTCCTGGCTTGGTCCTCTAGGTCCAGCCTCAACTTTTATCCTTTACTGATCTCCCTGCTCCAAACAAACTCCAGTGGTTCGGAGTGTCTCCATGTCCTCCCACCCTGGGCCTTGGCTCAGTGGGGTTCTCTTCGGGGCACACTCCGCCCTGCCCTTTTCTGCGCTTTTAAACCTTCGCTGGCTCTCAGCCCCAGCCCAGCCCTTCTCCCGCAGAGCCCTCCCGCCCCTCTGCCCACTCTGTTCTCTGCTTCCTTAGGGTTTGGAGAACACTTATTGTTGGCAACACTCTTCAGAGCTTAATCACGCATTGCTTTGTGATCCTGTTGGCATTGTGGGAGCCAGAGTCAAGCTCCAGCTCTATTGTTCTGACAATCACGTGCTTGGAGGAGGCTGGGCTGAGGGCTCCGGAGGGAGATGAATGCTCCCCCAGGTCTTTTGTGGTGCACTTAGGCCTGGACCCAGAGCCAAGGGAGGGCCTGTGTGTCCCCACCCCTCCAGATGACCTTGGGGCTGACCTTGGAGAAGTACCTAACTTCCCTGAGTCTTATTGTGAAGAAGCTTTGTGTACTAGAACACGACACTATGTCACCTCTGATAACGGTGGCACATAGCACTGCTGGCCCTTGTCCTGTGTTAAGCTCACTGCTGGGGAGTTGGCCTCCAGACTCAAGGCGACTCCCTGCACAATGGAATCAGAGTACTGTAATCTGAAGGGGTTTCACTGACAGATTTTTTTGGAAGCAGATGCCCGGGGCTCTCTTGCTAGTCCATCTCAATCTGGAAGTTCAGTCAGCATCATAGTAATACCCAAACCTGTGTATGGGGCGCGTTGGCCAGGATTCGAACCTGGGTCTTCCCCATGGAAGGAGAGAATTCTACTATTCAACCACCATTCCCCCTTCAGGTACAGTTATCACGGCCATTTTACAGAATAGGAAACTGAAGCGGGGGTGGGGGTGCTAAATTACCTGCCCTCAGTCACAAAATCAAAGTAGTGGAACTGTGATTTAAAACTGGGGCTTAAAAAATAAAATAAGTGATTTCTTTTCTACAAATATTTATTGAACACCTACTATGTGCTATGGACCCTTGTGAGACCTTGAGGCTTGTGGCACCGATAGGTAATATACATGCAAACATGACATTAATGTGTAACTACAAAGCAGGGCAGTACTCTATAGGGAGGGAGCAGGGCAGCCTGGTGAGGGGCAGGTCCTAAAACTGAGTCTGAGATCAGATGACCAGGCGAGGAAGGGCAGTACAGGCAAAGGGAACAGCATGTGCAAAGGCCCTGAGGTGGCAGAGCGTTCTGTGGTTTGTGAAGGAGGGAGGAAGACAGTGTGATTATTGGAGCTGGGTAGAGCAGAGGCTGAAAGAGATGAGACTGGAAAGGTAATGGGGTTGCCAGGGGCTTTAGGAGGGCCAGAGTCCTTCCTCTCTGGGGGTCCCAGGCTGTCTCCTAAGAAGACGAAACTATGATGCTGTTCTACGTCACTCTATCTCCGGAAGCTGGTGCCCTCAGTACCTGCTGGGGGCTGTGAGAGTGGAGCCTGGGAGGGAGAGGTGATGGCCCAGTCCCACTTCTAGGTGGTTGGGGGAGGAAGGGTGTGGGGGACTGGGTCCTCGCCTGAGGGTTCTGCAAGGGTGGGGCCTCAGTTGTCTTGGTGACACTCCATGACCAGTGCCCAGGAGCTGGTCTAGGTCTGCTCAGGGACTTCCGGGGCACTGGTGTGGGAGATCAGGGCACTGTGCCTTAGGGGAAGATATCCAAATTGGAGCCCCTCTTGAACCCAGTGAAGGGGATGTGAGGGGCCCACAAACCTGAATGTAAATGTGCTGGGGAGGGGTGTGGTACTCAGACCCACTGTCTCTGATCTCCAAAGGACTCATGTGGGCAAGCTCCAAGGAGGCACATTTAGTTCCTTAGGCTATCGGTGAGGTAGTGAGCTCCCCATCACTGGAGGGAAGCACGTCAAGGCCAGAACAGAGTGTGGGAATGTGACATAGGGATGTTGTGGAGGGCATTCAAGCACTGAGCAGGGGCAGATTCTGCAGGACTATGGTTCTATAAGAGAAGTGGTTAATACCGTGGGCAGACCAGAGTTTGAATCCTGGGTCCACTACTTTTGGGCTGTAAGTCCTTGAACAAATTACTTTGCCTCTCTGCGTCTGTGTTCTACCTTATAAGAATGATAAGAATAGTAGTAATCTCATAGGGTTGGTATAAGGAGTGAAAAGCTTTGTAGATGACAAGCATTTAGCACATAGTGAGGTGGCCAATAAATGGAATTGGCTATTGCTGTTATTGCAACTTCAGACCCCAAAAGACCCTTCTCCTGCCCTGTCCTCTGATATCTCTGCATGGGCATTTGGTCAGCCTTGGGGGTGGAAACCTCAGAGACTGACCTTTGCTGATCTTAATTACTCCCCCTTCCTGCTACACCTTGCTCAGGCTGTTCATGCTTCTGAGACTTTGATCACACTGAAACGCCTGCCTAAAAATGCTTCTTTCCTCCTTGACCTCCTGGAGAACTCCTATTCATCCTTCAAAACCCTGCTTAGATCCCACCTCCTCAGGGAAGCCATCCTCGACTTGCAAGTCTGGGCTCCCCTTATTAGTGTGATCTGTGGCATCCTGCCTCCTCTCCCAGGGACCATATCTAAGGCAACTCTCAGGAGGCACACCCAGCAGAAGTGGTCAGCAAGGACCCAGGAAGAATTCTGGGCTCTCAGGGTCTCAGCCTTGGGGACAGCTGGGAGGTGCCTCAGAGCCCGACAGTGCTGAGGAGTTCTGAATCCAGGTCCCACCCTGCACCTGGCACCTGTGGACTGGAAGACGCCTGGGTTGCAGAGGCAGTATCGGGTGGCGAAGGTCTCCATCATTCGGTCAATCTTCTGGGCCTCTCCTGGCAGCCGGAAGCTCCATAGAAACTGCCTACAGAAGGAAGAAGGTCATGGGCATCCATGCCTAGGCCCTGCCTCTCCTGGTGGGACCCTGCCTAGGCTCTGCCTCTCTTAGACTCACTTTGGTGGTGGTTATGTGCTGTGGAGTCAGTTCTGATTCATAGTGACCCTGTACAGGGTTTCCGAGGCTGTAAATCTTTACAGGAACAGAAAGTCTCATCTTTCCCCAGTGGAACAGCTGGTAGTTTCACACTGCTGACCTAGTGATTCGCAGCTATCCACTACCCTTTTGTTGTTGTTGTCAAGTGCCGGCGAGTCAATTCCGACCCATAGTGACCCTGTATAGGGTTTCCAAGGAGCAGCTGATGAGCTTGAACCGCCGACCTTGAAGTTCAAACGGCTTTGCAGTCTGGTGCATTAACCCATAGCGCCACACCAGGACTCCCCTTAACTATCCCCAAATTGGGAGAATCTGAGCAGTAGGAAGTGTGCTCAGGGTACCGAGCACATCGTACCTCCCCAAGAAATGCCTTTCTTTCCAGAATTCTCTGCACACACAAATCTTAGCTGTTTGCAGCCTATGTCCGCCTCAGTGGTTAAGGTGTGGTGGTCCTTGGCACCTGGCCATTCAGCTCTGGGGGTCTGACTGGGGTGCTGGGTGAGTGCCTTTCCCACCTGGGTCACCTTCCTGCAACCTAAGCTTTCCTTCAGCTCAGACATCAGAGATTTCCACAGTGTCCTGGGCAAGGACAGCGCTTGATCCTCTCTCATCTCCTGAGGGCCTAGCATAGAGCTGGGCACCTAGATGCTGCTTAGGTAAGTCTTGTTGCATGAGTGAGTGAGTGGATCAATGAATGAACATAGGAAGCACCCCCAGCCACCTCCCCTTGTCCCTTAAAGAACAAGGGATATTGGAGGAAAAGTCACACTGCTTTAGTGGTGAAACTTCTTCCTTCTTTGCTCCGCATACTCCTATTCATCCTTCAAAACCCAAATTAAATTCCCCTCTCAGGATCGCATCTTCCATAATGCCACCACTGCCACCACCACCACCATCGATACTTATTAAGCACTTACTATGGGCCACTTCTAAGCACTTTCTCATGTAGTCCTCACAATCCTATGAGGTGTGTACTATTATCCCTATTTTACAGATGAGGAAACTGAGGCACCAAGGGCTTTTTTGTGTGTGTGTGTGTGTGTGATTTGTCCCAGGTCTCACAGGGCATGCATGGCAGGGCTGGGCTGGGCTATGAACTGAGAAGTCAGACTCCTAACGGTTATAAAAATGAAAGCAGTCACAGCATCATAGGTGGGAAAGAATAAGTAATAAAATGTACATTAATAAAGTAAAGCAAATACTGGTCCAAAAAAAGGAGTAGACCGGGAGGAATACTACTAATATCATAATGATTTTGTGTGATTATAATGGTTAAATGTGTTTAGAATAATAATATTAACAGTAGTAGTATAATAAGCCAGGCCCCTGGTGCAGGAATACGGCCTCCCAGTCTCCAGGTATTACCTCGCCTCACCCTACTTCAGCCTGGGAGGCGGGTGCTCTCCTTAATCATTTGTTGCTCCTTACTGCCTCCTTTTTGCTCCCCACGCAGTGTTAGCCCGACCTCCCTGGGCTGTGTCCCTCCCCCTCTGTTCCTGGGTTGCTCACCTGAGGGCCTGGACCAGGTTGAGGTTGGCGAACTCATGGCAGTCCACAAAGGCCTGCAGGACCTCCAGGTTGACTGGGTCCCTAGGGAGAGGGATGAAGGAGTTAAATCTGTTCACTGCCCCTTCAGGGGAGGGACCCACTTGGAAATTTGTTGGCACCCACTTCTTGGGGATGAGGTGAGGGAAGGGAAAAGAGGAAGAAGAGATGTCTGCTTTCATCTGTCCTTTCCACACGTGCACACATGCACGCACACACGCACACACACATACGCACATATGTGCACACACGTGCACACACACAGTGCACACACACGCACACATGTCCTCCCTCGTTTATGCGGTCCTGTACATACCTGGCACTGGTCTGGCCCAGGACAGGAGCACTGGCTTTGGAGTCAGCCTGCCCTGCATTCAAATCCTTCCTCTGTCATTTCTGACCTGCTGACATTCCTAAGCCCCTGTTTACTCCTCTTTAAAATGGAGCCAACCATGCCTGCCCCTTTTCCTCCCTCTCCCCGTCTCTAGCTTAGGAAGGGCACCTGTTCTGCCACCTACACACCGTTGGATCCGTTGAGAGACTGAGAGAGGGGTTGCTGGCTCGCTGGCTCAGCTCTGCCATAGGGAGACACATTTGCTTCCCCCACTGCTCTGCCTAGGCCTGGGAGGTGGGCTCAGTTCAGGGAGAAAGAGCAAGGAACACAACGTGGTGGTCCAGGCAGACAAGACCGTGCCCTCAAGTCCTGTTCAACAGCAACCGGCTGCTCCTCTCACCTCTACTGTGGCCCAAGCCACCACTATCACTCCCTGGGTGACTGCAGTGACCTCTCTGGTCTCCTTGCTCTGTCTTTGTCCCCCATAGTAGCCAGACCAGCCCTCTGCCCGAATCTTCCTAGGATCCCCAGTGGCATCACTAGGGGGTGCAGGGGGTGTGGACCACGCAGGATAACACTGTCAGAGGGGTGAAATTAAAATGACTGTCTATAAAATTTTGTGCTAAGTCTTTCTCAGAAACGTAGAATTTTTAATAAAAATAACTTTATTGTTAGTCATGGAATCCTGGTGCGGTGCTGTGGGTTAATGTGCTGGACTGCAAAGTTGGTTTAAACTGAAAAGTCGGTGGTTCAAGCTCACCAGCCACTCCTTGGAAACCCTATACAGGGTCGCTATGGGTCAGAACTGACTCAAGGGCACTTAATAACAATTTTTAGTTATAACAACATTTTTCTGAAGCCCAGCTTACATATATCAATATACTTGTTGTTTTGTTAAGCGTCATCCAGTTGATTTTAGCTAATAATGACCCTGTATATAGGGTTTTTGAGGAGTGGCTGCTAGGTTGGAACCACTGACCTTGTGATTAGCAGTCCAGTGCTTATCCTATAGCGCCACACCAGGACTCCATCAGTATATGTACAAGACTAAAACTCTAATTTACTTTTTGAGCCTTCTAATGTGCTCCGGCCGGAGCTGTCTTTATGGCCCAATCACAGTGATACTTCCAATCACGTGGTTTTGTCTGCAGCCGCTACAAGCCTGTACTGTGTTTTCTCCTACGCTTTTAAACTCCCTGATTCAACCACACATTCTGGCGTTTCAGTGACAATATTGTGGTCATGAGTATTTCTGAACCTTAATCAATAGCATTTGTGAGGATGAAGTCGTCACTGAAGGAAAAGAAGGCGAAAAATACAAAAAGTCTTCTGTTCATTGTTGGTTCAGCTGATAATGTTACCATTCAGTGTAGAAATATTTTATAAAACAGTTTTGTTGCTAGTAGCCATAGAACCTAAGAAGTATTATATGTAAGCAATTTATAACTATATTGATCACATATTGTCCTATGATTAAAATGGATAAACATGATTAAGGATTCCATATGGTCAGGTCAGGGAGGAGGTTCATGGAGGGAGAGGGACATCAATCCTAGTTACTGTTGTTGTTAAGAGCCGTTCTGACTCATAGTGACCCTGTATAGGGTTTCCAAGGAGCAGCTGGTGAGCTTGAACCACTGACCTTACAGTTCAAACAACCTTGCCATCCAGTGCATTAACCCACAGCGCCACACCAGGACTCAATCCTAGTATACCACTGTGGATTCTCACCTTGTCTCCCTACTTCCCCTCTCCATTCTGTGTTCCCTGGGCATGCGCCAGCCTCTGGGTCTTTGCACTGGCTGTTCCTCTGCCTGGAATGCTCTTCCTCCAGATTGCTACATGGCTTTCTCCTCCACCTCTTATAATTTGCAGTTAAATACCACCTTCTCCATACACTAGACCTTTCCAGTCCAAAGTATTTTAAATTGCCACCCCAGACCCACGGCCTTTTAATCTCCCTTCCCTATTTCTTCTTTAATTCCGTAGAAGTTAGACTCTTCCAGCACATTTTATGTCCCATGGGATCTGTCTCCCCAGCAGAATGGACCTCTCTCCCCAAAGGGCAGGGGTTCATTGGTGTAAATCCAGGGCTCAGGACATTGTCTGTCACAGAGTCGACACTCAAAAATAAACACGTGTTGAACGAATGAACAGAGGAAGAGACCAATGAAGAAAGGCTCTCAGGCTTTGAGTCAAAATCCATAAGGGAGTTAGCCTCCCCGAACTTTTTCAAGAAGGAGTCACACCTTCCCTAAAGCAATTCATTCCCTCACTCTCCCACATCCACACCACACAGACCTCCTCACATCTGTACGTCCTCACTGCCTGCTTCCCTCATATTTCTTTACTGTAGTTGTTGAGATCTGTAGCAGAAATATACACCAATTCAAGTTTCTCCACGTACAATTTAGTGACATTAACAATGTTCCCTGAATTGTCCCACCTTCTGAGCTGCTACTTCCTCATTAACACAAACTCCCTGCACCTGCCTTGCCTCAGGTTCCTATCTAATCTTTCAGAGTTTCGCTGTCAATTTGACCCATAGAGAGAGATCTTCAAAGGGCACGCTGCTCAAGGTGGACATTCTTTGCTAGTAATGCTAAATTGTGATGTAGTTTTAAGAAGACATTAAGGGACAGGGCAGGTAATATATAACAAGAGGGAGATTGGCAGAGGAAAGATGAAGGTAGCGGGGACACGGAGGAATGCCAGAGTTAAAGTGAACAGAGGTAAAGACTGTAAACTCATGGTACTTGGAGGGGATTGCAATCATTGTAATGAAGCAAAGTATGTGATTTGTTGAATGTACAACTGACGATTTGTTCTGTAAACCTTCACTCAATTCACAATTAAAAGTTAAGAGAGAGAGAAAAAAAAAGACTTCAGGAGATATTTTTTATTTAAGGCTTAATGGAGAGCGCAGGGCCATCATTTTGAGGGCTTATCCAGTCCCCAGGACTCCAGAAAATCTAGATTTCAGGAGAATTTGAAACACTTTCATGCATTTTCCCTCTTTTAATCAAGGCCCTTCTATAGAATCTTTGCCTCACCTCCCTCTGAAGATGCTCTCCCTCTTACCTCTCCCCCAGGTAGATGCCTATGGCCGTCTTGTTGAGACCTTCACCCTTGTAGAGGAACTGGGCAATGTCCTGGACATCAGGTGACAACAGCTTGTGTTCAGTCAGATACTGGATGCCCTGTAGGGGGTCACATAGCCTGTGAGCAGCCCCCACACAGCAGCCAGCCTGGGAGAAGGGAGGAAGGAACCCCCCATGGTCAGAACCCTGGGGTCTTGCCTTCTGGCATTGGCACAGAAGTTGTGTCCCTTCACAGAAACTGTCTTTGTGACGTGATGAGTTCCTGTCACCGGAGAAAGATGGGGGAGTTCCTACACAAAACTGGGTTCATACCAGGTGCTCCCCAGGGCTCCCCTTTAACTTGACATTCTTTGATTATATGCTTCAGTGATTCTATGAATTTATAATTCTAAGATTCAGTGACTCAGCCATTCCTTTTATTCCCTTAAAACTTACATTATTTTAAAGTGTTTTGTTTTTTCTATGTGCATTGTATAAAAATTAGAAGGAAAAACCCCAGCTGAATCAAAAGGGGGTGGAAATTGCCTAAATGCAACTGCTGGAGAGGGATGGTTTCCTTGTAGGGCGTTCCCTTTCTGTTTTCTGGGGGAATGGGGCCTGCTGCCGCCACCAGGAACCCTCTCTTCTCTTCTAACCACACCACAAGCATCTCCCCTCACCACCCAGCCACTGGGGCCCCGGTGTTCTAATTTTAGGGGCTTGTGGGGCTGGTCTCTGGTTTTCACCTCAGGCTGCTTGCTGTAAGGTGGGGGCAGGGCTGAGGACCTTCAGCAGCCCCCCACAAGTGAGGACTTGTGAGTGTGTGATTGAGGGGTGTCTGGAGGGTCTGTGGCACTGAGAGGGGGAGGTCTGTGATAAGGCAGAGGGCAACTCTACCTTCAAACCAGAGCAGTAAATTTCCAGGAACCCCACATTAGCTGGCCCCCACCTCCCAGTATCGGCAGGCACGTGGCTTCCTCTTGTCTCTGCCCAGGAAGTGGAGTCCAGCTGCCAGCTGGCTGGGTGAGGGGTGAGGGTGGGGTTGTTGAAAACTCATGGGGTAAGTGCAGAGGGGACAGAGTGGTAACTGAGCTCTTGGCCCGCAGAATCCCTGCCAGCGAGGGGACACAGGAGAGAGGCTGATTAGCTCCCAGATTGTTGTTGTTGTTGTTGTTATGAGTCGGTTCTGACCCATAGTGACCCTCTGTAGGGTTTCCAAGGAGCAGCTGGTGAGCTTGAACCGCTGACCTTGCAGTTCAAACAGCTTTGCATTCTGGCGCATTAACCCACAGCGCCACACCAGGACTCCACTCCCCAAGCTGGGTGCCCTAAAATCTCATCCTGAAGTTCAGGACCTAGAATCAAGGACTCCACCGTCAAAGCTCGATTCAGAGAGGAAGAGGCAGAGGGTCCAAGAGGACTTGGGACTTGCCCATGCCTCTGGACACCATAAACTTCACACCTCGTCCTGGACAGCTATGCCGAAGAGCAGACGGAGCCCTTTGCCACTGACTGCTGGGCCTCAGTCTCCTCAGATGTAAAGTGGGCTACAGGCTGCCCACCCCTCACCCAGGCTCTGCTCTTCCTACCTTGCAGGGGTCCATGTTAAACTTCTTGCGCCCAATGCATAGCTCCTTCTTCCTCTGGACAGTCCGGCTGTGGATACAGGATGTCAGCAGGGGGTGCCCTGAGCCCCCATGATGCCCCCAACTCCTAGGGTCCCTTTCCAAGGCTGGGACCAAGATTTCTTAGGGCCTCCCAGGCCCTGAATTGGGAACACTGAAAGAGCATGAAAAATGCCCGGTCTAGAACTCTCCCCCAGCCACGACCCTCAGAGTCTTCCCGAGAATTCCAGCACCAGTGTTTCACCAGTGCAGAACCCCCTCATGGGAGCCCAGAGAGCATGTTGAGGGGTCCTGGGCTCAGAGTGGGGCGTGTGCAAATCCCAGATCCACCATATACTGGCTGAACCACTTGGAGCCTCAGTTTCCTTGTCTGTAAGATCAGGATGACACCAGCCCATGCTAAAGCGCTGAAAAGAGCCAGTGGTAAGTGCTCTGTGCTGTGTTGGTATTGTTGGGATTGGGACAGGGGATGTGGAGACACCTGACCTCTGTGTGCATGTGCATGTGAACATGCGTGTGCAGAGAGGTAGAGCTCAGAGGTACAAGACAGCTGAGAGGTGGCAAGGGTGTGTGGGTCTGAAGACATTTCCTGGGAATCAACACCTGGGACCTTGGGGGTTGGGTTGGGATCAACTTTCTCATTGCACAAATGGGAAACTGAGGCTCAGAGAGGGGAAGGAACCAGCCCAGGCCATAAAACCATTGAAAGTCTTCCCAGTGAGCAGCAGGTGGATGCTCCTGGTGGGTGGATGGAGTGGCCCAGATTGGCCCCACATCTTGGAATAGAACTTTCCCATAGCATTACTAGCCGCTCCTGGGCAACCCTACACAGGGCCACTCACTGTGAGTCAGAACCGACTCAACAACACTTAGTAACAACAACGTCTCCTTGGGAGGAGATCTCCTGGTCTGTCTCCCATGGAGCAGCTGGTCACTAGGGCTCCTTCTGCCCATATTAGAATGGGATCCCTTGTCAGTTCTGTGGGGCCAAGGCTGGTCTGGGTGGAAGGGACGACAGAGCAGGGCTGTCTCTTATGAGACGAACTGTCTTTGAGCAAGAACAGGACCAACTGACAGGATGGAGCCAGGGGCCGCCCCTTCCTGCCCCTCTGCCCCAATTTCACCTGGGCTCAGGGCCCCTCCTTGTTTAGAGGATGTGACAACCTTGGTCATAGACAGTGGGTGTCCCAGGGTCCCTCATGCCAGACCCCTCACCTCTCTTCCGCACTTTCGAAGCAGTCAATTTGGGCGAACACATCAGCAATCTCATCCTTCAGCTTCTGTTGGAGGGGCGTGTGGTCCGAGGAGAGGGACAGTCAGGGGTGGAAGCAGGGAAAGAGGGGCTTCATCCACTCCCACCCAAGGGGTGACTTCTACACCCACCTCTCTCCATCCTGAGGGACACTGTCCTGACAGATCCTCCCACGCCCCTTCACTTCCCTTCTTATATTACCTAAGACCCACCAAACCCATCCCATCCCTGGCTCATGTCTGGGGAATGCCCCCAACTGGACTCATCCTCAACCCCCAACTCTGTACCCCAAGCGTTGGGATTTTATATCAGAAACCTCTCCCACCCCCTGTCTTTCTGTTGCTCCCTCCCTTTCCTCTTCTGCTACCTCCAGCTAAGCCCATCCCGACAAACCCTTCTCCATTTGCCTGACATTGTTCTTAAGAGTACAGCTTCCCTTGCTCAAACTCCTTCCATGGCTCCCTACTGTCTCCTGAGTCAGGAGCACAGACTCTCAGCCTATGGTTGGGCCCCAGCTCCCCTCTGGTCTCCTTTGCTTCATCTATTTTACTTTTCTGCTCACCATATACTAGTGCCTAGTGCAACACAGCCTCTCTTCTGGTGGAATTTACAGAAGAGGAAACTGACGTTCAGAGACGTATCTGACTTGCTTAAGGTCTGGACCCACTTCACCCCAAGCTGTTTGTCTTGGCCTTCCAACATGCCGCCAATAGCGACCCCTGGACAGACTGGGAGGGGTGACCCGGCACCCCAACTCCAGGTCTGGGGGCTTGTCCCGGGACCCAGGTCCCAAGAGGAGCCAAGTCTCAGCTATGTCTCGCTGAGTCATTTAGTGGCTTCCCCATAAATAAGAGGGGGTTTACATGCAAGTATTATAAGCACTATGATACCATAAGCATAGGACTCCCAACCACAAGGTCCAGGGTTTGATGAAGCTTTCTGCTCCGGTGAAGACTTAAAGCCTCAGAAACCCTATGAGTTGGAACCGACTTGATGGCATCTAACAGCAGAGCCTGTGCCCTGATGATTGAACTGGAGATATTGGTGGGGGGGCAGGATGGCTGGTGGTGAATCACAGGGCAGTTGAAATAGTCAGATGACAGTATAAAAAGTAATCACGTGGGGACGGGGGCAGAGAGGGGAAACTGCAGGAAACTTGACCAGGGTGGCCTCTATGGGGAGGTGGCGTTTGAGCTGAGAGAGAGGAGGGATCATGAGGAGAGTTTGGAAACAAGTCCAGGCTGAGGGGACGCAAATGCAAAGGCCCAGTGGAGTCCTGTCCAGGGACAGACCACGGCCTGGCTCTGAGGGTTGCTGCGGAGCAGGACTCACATCTGAGACCCTGACTCTGAGCGGTAAATGTAGGGATGGGTTGTGTATCCTCTGGACCAAAATGGTCTAAATTCTTGGGAGGAGGAAACTGAGGCCTGGTGTGGGAATAAGGCTCCCCAAACTGGGACTGCAGGGCCCGGGATGGTAAAAGACTCCAAAACCTACTGACTCTGGCTCAATTCCAACTCATAGTGACCTAGAGGACAGAGAGGAACTGTTCGGAAGGGTGTCTATGGCTGTAAATCTTTACAGAAGCAGACTGCCACATCGTTCTCTCAGGGATCAGCTGGTGGGTTTGAACCGCTGACCTTTCTGTTAGCAGCCCAATGCTTAGTCCACTGTACCACCAGGGTAGGTGCTTGACCACCTCCTTCCCTGTCCCAGCTTGCCTGGCTCACTCTGTCCCAGGAGTGGGTCATCCTCTGGGATTTCTACTTAGGTGGTATTTCCCCAACTCCTTGGGGTGGAGCTGAGTGAGATACCCTGGGCTGGGTCAGGAGTGAGGGGAGAGGTGGGCACGTGTGTCTGAGGGTGTGTCCGCATGACCGTGTATGTGTGGGTGTGAGAGTGTGTGTGTGCCCACCTGGATGTCCTCCAGAAGCTGCTTCCGGTGCCACTTGATTTGCTGTAGCTCCTCCGTCTCTCCGCTGCTCAGCTCCGCTGGGTCTGGAGAAAGCAGAACCAAATGGTCACCAGATTCACTCACCACCCTCCGTCCATCCCTCTGTCCAGCCACATCCTCAGAGCCTTTATCCTTGTTACTCCCTCTGTCTCTTCAGAGCTCAGTCTTCCCTTCAGAAACCCATGACTTGCTTGCTCTCTTCACTTAGGCCCTGGAACTCAGACATCACCTCCTCCAAGAAGTCTCCCCTGACCACCCTGTGCAGAGCAGCCTCTACCCTCCCCTTTTCCCTCCCAGCTTTGTGTTTCGTCTGCCTCTGTGGATGCAGACTCTTTGCATTATCTCATTTTACATGCATCATTTCTGATTCCTCAAAGCCTGTGTCCTTTCCTCTTCACCTGGAGCTGAATTAATAATGTGTGCTGACATTCTGTGTCAAGTCTGGGTCAGCTGTCCCACCTTTCCTCCACAGTCTGGTCAGAAGCTCTGTAGGGTCTTTTTATTTAGAGGAAAAAGTCCTCACCCAGGCCCAGAGGCCTTCACACTCCCCAGCCTCCCCAGTCAGCATCGTTCCCCACTGCCCTTAACAAGAGCCTCTGGTCCAGCTGGTCAGTTCCTCACTGGCCCCAGATCATCAACACTCAGTCCTCCCCTCTAACATACATGTTTCCTCCACACTGGGCTGCCTTTTCCTGCCTGCCTATACAATCCTGCCTGACCCTCAAGTCCTAGCTTTGAGAGGTGCCTGGCCACGTTTGCTAAAGGTCTTGCCAGGACAGATATTGGTGTGTTGTTGTTAAGTGTCGTTGAGTCAGTTCAGGCTCATTGCAACCCTGTAGAGTATTTTCGAGGAGAGGCTGGTGAGTTTGAATCGCCAACCTTGCAGTTCAAACTGACCTTGCAGTCCAGTGCTTACTCGACAGCGCGCTACACCAGGACAGATGCTGTTGTTGTTAAGTGCAGTTGAGTTGGTTCTGAACCATAGTGAACCTGTATAGGGTTTCTAAGGAGTGACTGGTAAGCTTGAACTGCCAACCTGTGGTTCAACCCAGCTTTGCAATCTAGTGCATTAACCCACAGCGCCACACCAGGACTCCAGGACTCCAGGATAGATATTAGCACCCCAAAATGAAAGCAAAACTCCTGGTGTGGCACTGTAGGATAAGCACCGGATTGCGAACCACAAGGTTGGCAGTTCAAACTCACCGGTCACTCTGTGAAACCCAATACAAGGTCGCTATGAGTGGGAACAGCACACAACAGCAGCAACAGATAAAAGAAGAGAGACTATCTAGTAACCCCCTTTCTACTCTCTCGTACTCCACTGACTGGGCAGTCATCTTGAAATGAAAGCAGTATGTGGGGAATAGCCGGGCACCAAACTAGAAGGAACCTGGATCCCAGAGAACTGTGTGAAGCAGCGTCAGTGTATTCTCCTCAACCAAGAGAGAAATAAGCTTTAAGAATGTTTCAGACACTGCTCTCCTGAGCATTTTTTGTTACAGCAGCCACACTTGAAATTAAACGAATACAGCATTCTTATCTGTGAATGATGAGCTGTAATGCTTACTTTAGAGAGGGGTTCCTAGCTGAACATTTCCAAACACCCAACAGGGATCTGACACACAGGAGGGGTCCAATACATGTATAAAGGGAGTTGAGCTGCACCATCGAACTCCCCTGTCTGGATCATGACTCTCATTGTCTCTGCTGCTGGTATGTGCCCTGCTGATGGTTCATGCCTCAGTCCATCTCTAGGAACTTGTTTCAACCAAAGGGCCTCACTCAAATAGTAGCTGCTGCTCTAAAAAGCTAGGACCCCTTGCCTAGTTTCTGCACCAAAGCTTGCTTTCAGACTGAAGCTCTCCTTCCGAAAGAAAGATCTCATGAATTCCACAGCTCCCATAGACCATAATGATCCCCTGATCCTTCCTAAGGTAACTGTGGTCATTTATCCCAGGATCCAGGGGACTATCCAGATATTTTGAGAATTGCTGGACACAGAATCCAAGCTCACTGATACTCGGAGACTGAGCATCACCAAGGTCCCCATTAGTGGGTGAGCGTTTCGAGCCCAGGAGTACCTTCGGTGCAAGCACCTAGTATAGTATGTTATTAACTGAAAGGTTGGGGATCCGAGTCCCCCCAGGTTCATCTTGTAAGGAAGACCTGGTGTTCTTCTTCTGAACAATGAACAACTGAAAACCCTGTGGAGCACAGTTCTGCTCTGACCCATACCTAATGACCACCTGTTATATAGCGACCAGGTAATAACTGGAGTCCTGGCTCAGACCCGACCCACAGTGGCTCCACTTAGTTCATGGTCATTTTCAATGGTCCTCAAACAGAGTTGGAATGAACATCCTTGGCCCCACATTGGTACCTTGTTAGTGGAGAAGACTGAGAAGAAGGCTCTGAATCTGTGCCTTGACCCTCACAATTAAGAGAGTAAATCAGGAACAATATTACAGCTTGAGGGCAATAGCAGACATTAGTGCCACCCTTGAAGGATGCCCGGGTGTTGGTGTACCTCAGTCAGAAGGACAGCACCGAGCCACCACAAATGACTAAGGAGAATACCAGTTGCAGCTGCTGTGCCAGATGTGGTATCTTTGCCAGAGCACATTAACATGGCCTCAGTTATATGGTGTGCGATCACTGGTCTGTCAAATGCATACTTCTCCATCTCGTCTAGGAAGGGGGATCAGATGCAGTTTGTATGTGCGTAGGAGTAGCAATAGTATGCGTCTAGAGTCATGACCCAAGATCATATTAACTCTGTCATAATCTGAAGGGACTGAGCATCACATTGGGCTGATATATTGATGGCATCATGCTAATCATACCAGATGAGCAGAAAGTGGCACATATATTGGAGGCCTTGATGAGACACAGGTGCTCTGGAGAGTAGAAGATTAAACCTTACCAAGATTCAGGGGGTCACCACATCAGTGAAACAAAAGTAGTTTGGTCCTTTCTGGAACATTCCCTCCAAAGTATAGGGCAGATTTTTGTACATTGCATCCTAGACCACTTGGAAGGGATAGACACACAGCAGGCTGATTTTTTGGGTTCTGGAGGCAGTAAGCCCACCCCTGGGAATGCTGAGTGATACCAGAGGCTGCCAACTCCCAGAGTGAGGTCCAGAGCAGGAAGCGGTTCTGCAGCATGTCCAGACTGTGGGACGTGCCAGGCCACTCAAGGACCCTGTGGGTTGTTAGAGGTGTCAGTGGTGGGAAAGACTCCATGTGCAATCAGGAGTGGACCCCAATGGGAAAGTCACAATTCAGACCCTTAGGGTTCTAGAGCAAGGCTGTGCATCTGCAGCTGAGAGTTTTACCCCATTCAATACGTACTTCCTAGATGGCCACCTGGCCCTGGTAGAGACAGGGCCCTTTAGACCACAGAGACTAAAGGAGTTCTGTCTGACTTACCAAGTCATACAGTCGTGCATCCCAGAACAAATGTGAACAGGGTCAAAGGGCACAGGTAAACTCATGCCAACCACTGCTTTTGCACTAGTGCCTCTCCTTGGATTCTTACCAATTCTGCATGGGTAGTCCTTCCTGACCTACATCCCTACTCAAAGGTGTCCCTGCAAGACAGTGGTGAGGGGAAATCCTCCCAAGGGACAAAGCTTTGGCCAGTGTATCTGGTCATCCACTTAGTGAGGAAAGAGAAGTGGCTAGAATACATGTAGACTCCTGGGCAGTAGTCAATAGCTTGACCTCCTGGTCAGAGGCCTAGAGAAGAAAGATGGAAACACCAAGGGCAAGGGGACCTGGGAAGAGGCATATGGGTGAAGCTCTGGGAACGAGCATGCAGCAAGATGTGGGCAAAGCCCGGGATTAGTGTTGGGCATCCACCACTGGAGAGACATGAAACCAAGCCAGCTTCTGTGATTGGTCACGCCAGGGATGGTACATTGGATGTGTGAATGGAGCTGTCATGTGACCCAGACGGAGCCAATGCTTGGACCCCTCACCAAGACTCCCCTGGCTACTACGACTACCACAGATGAACATCCAATCTACCAATGCAGAGCCCCCAGTATGGTATTGATTCTGGAGAAGACCAAGCAGTTCCTTGGTGACAAATTGATGACATTGAATCCCTTCTAGTCTTCATAATCCAGTGGTTCATCTTAGCTGAAATTAACACTGGGTTCTGGTCCTTGGCCAGTACCATTGTCCAAGGGCTGAGAGAGTGTTTGACCCATTCACACAGAATCCAGCATCACGTCACATTAAACAAGGACTACTACCAGCTGTTCTGTGGGAGAAAGATGAGGCTTTCTGCTCCCGTAAAGATTTACAGCCTCGGAAACCCTGTACAGGGTCGCTATGAATTGGAACCAACTCCATGGCACACAACAACAACTTTCCAGTAAAGGAAGTGGGGGCGTGAGCATGACAGCATGGGATCCACTGGTCCTCTCACATGTCTTAACATCGGAAGATGCTAGTCTGATGGAGCGTCCTTTTGAAGGTGCAGCTGAGCTCCCAGCTTGGAGATGCTGTCCTGCTTGGATTGATGTCACCAGAAACTGGTGTTATGGATTGAATCAGGTCCAGAAAATATGTGTTGTCAATTCTAACCTCTATGCTTGTGGTTACAATCCCATTTGGGAATAGGTTGTTTTTGACAGGGTGTTCTTGAGTCAATTTCTTTTGGGATTTCAGAGAGATTAAACAAGCAAGGGCGATGGGAAAGACAGATGGCAAGACATCGCCCAGGAGCAGAAACTCAAAAGTGAGAAGGAACTTCTTCAAGAACCAGCAGAATGATGGTTACCATTCACTAGGTGTAGGGTTGTTGTTGTTATTAAGTGCCGTCAAGATGATTCTGACCCATAGAGACCCTGTATAGGGTTTCCCAGGAGCAGCTGGTGAGCTTGAATTGCTGACCTTGCAGTTCAAACAGCTTTGTAGTCTGACGTATTAACCCACAGCACCACACCAGGACTCCATGATACATGTTAACCTGGGTGATGGGAAAGGCAATATACAAGAGAGAGACTCACAGAAGAAAGATGAAGGGAGGA